ATTTGACAATTCGCTTGTCCAATCGGATTTTTTTATACCTTATATCCGATATAGGTTCCCGATGCATAATGAAATAGAAGAAGGATGAACCTTACCTTCATTTTTTGTTTTCTTCTTGTTGTTTAAGGCAACTTTAACTTTGCGAACGGATTTTTTAAGTGATTGACTAAAAGATTTACGTAAACGCATTTTTTTTTGTTTTTTATTTTATTTTATTTTATTTTATTGATATGTATTCGTATCCTTTGTATGTGAAAAGATGTGAAGATACAACACACTCTACTTTCTTCTATTTTACGTCTTTTTTTTTTTTAAAATAAAAAAAATTATTTTAAAAAAATAAAAATTTCTTTTTTCAAAGATTTTTTGAAGTAAAAAAAATTTCTAGAAAAAAAAAGGAAAAACTTTAAAGATGGTCCTTTATATATTTATGGTTTAAATTTTTTTTTTTTTTTTTAAGTTACATTAATCCATCAGAGAGTAAATAAACAAGTAAATTGAGGAAAAAAAAAAAAAAAAAAAGCAAAGAAAAAAAAAAAGTTTGCATTTTGATATGGTACAAGCTGAGAATCATTGGGAATATTTTATGCATGATCAATTCAATCACACTTATTTTAGAAGGGAGATTCAAAAATTTCGTTAATATATTTTAAAGTATATGTAATAGATATAATAGATATTAAATTATTAATATAAATGTAATGTAAAATTGATTAAATTGATTAAATATTTTTTGGTGCAATATCAAAAAAAACTGTTCCTGCAGTAATATTATTCTTTAAAAAATTTGTCAACACTCCAATCATTGGACATCTTTCATTAGTGACAGCCATCCAAAACGTAACATAATTTCTAATTTTACACAGTTGTCATTCGTTAAATGACATACAACTGTCGCACAGGATTCGATGAACAATGAGTTGCTGCAAATCTTTTTATTTTGTATGATAAAAAGAAAAAAAACAAAAAAAAAAATTATTGGCCGCAGCCATATTTATCACTTTTCCGCCCTGATAAACAAAAAACAAATTCAAATGCCACTAGCAATGAAAAAAAAGTGAAAAAAGAAAGAAAAGAAAGAAAAAAAAAAATTCATCAGGGTCCTTTTGGTAAGGAAAATAATATATATATATTTTTTTTTTCTTGTCAAAGGTCAATGCATGAATGTCCTGATTAGTTTGGGGAAATCCCACGTGATAATGTGATGGTGACACATGTTCGCATAAGGTTTTCCAAATTTGGTCCATCAAGCATAGTGCTGGCCGGTAGTTTTCTGGTCAAAGCTAAATTCCTAAATTTGATACAATTGATACCTGCATTGTTTGTCTCGGGGTAGATTCCTGCATTTCATTACGTTATAAATGGATACCCTGCATTTTACAATACGTCATTGTAAATATCCAGCTTATCCGTCTAAAATCTTTGCCAATATGGTTTTTAAGTATCCATATTTGTAATTAATAAATCTTTTTCTTTTCCGACTCTTGTTTTAACTCGTTTTTTCTTTATTTAAAGTTCTCACACCTTGGAGCATAATGTAAAATAATAGATTGTTCTCCCTTTCTGTGATTAAATCAAAAACGCCAAGAGATATAAAAATATAAGGTTCATTTTTTTTTGGTAATAAATTATTAACCAATGAAATAACGCAATCCTCAAATCACATGAAAAAGTTTTTTCTTTACTATTCCCGTTTTTATCACTAAATTTGGTCATTTCATAAACAGCCTATGTTATTACTATTATTATTAAAAAAAATCAGGAATAATAATGTTGTTATATTATGTTTTATTCTTAATTAATTAAATTATATGAATTCTCAATCACAGGTTAATTAAGCAGGTTTTATTCACAATGGTATTTAATTAAAATTCCTTTCATTAAAGTTAATTAGTATTATCCTTGATCCCTGACCTTATAAATCTTTTGTAATTCATCATAATCTTCCGTTATTGTGTATAATTTAATTAAATTATTATATAAATTTTCATTGGGAATTAATCTTTCATCTTGAATAATTTTCCAAAGATTTGCTGCCTTTTCATAATGCTTATGAATGATATAAATCTTGACAAGCTCATCGATCGAATCAATCAACTCATCATCATCTACCCTTCCGATTCTCAAATGATCTAGAATTGTTTCAGCTTCATGATATTCTTTTTCATATCCCCAAAATGAAATTAATCTACTATACAATGAAGTACGGTTTAATTTAATCCCTCTATTATATAATTCGTTATAAATTTGTCTTATGGTATTTGGACTCTTGGATTCAACGGCTTTGTCCATCAATAGATTCCACGTGTGAACAGATGGTTCTAATCCATTATATTCTAGTTGATCATAGAAGAATTCAAAAGCCGCTTTGTATCCTCGAGTTTTGTAACAATGTTTAAACAATATATGAAACGTTTCTAAATTAAATTCAAATCCATCCTTGATTATAGTTCTACAAATCTTTTTCGCAACCGTTAAAAAATTTGACGTCAAATAAGATTCTAAAAAGCAATTATAGGTATCAATATTTGGTGTGAGTATGTGCTTATTCCGATTACCACGTAAAATAAGAATGCCAATCTTCTTGACTTCGTAATTCGTTAATTTCCCTGCCGCCCTGATTAAATTATTGTAATCATTGATCGTTGGTTTAAGCCCCGATTGGTACATTAAATTTAATGCTTTTTTGGCTTTTCCCAAATCCCCTAGATCCGCAAAACATTTGATCAAGGAAGAAAAGATTGTGCAATCTATTGATAATCCTGACTGATGGATTTCACGAAAAATCGCCTCGGATTTCTCAGGCTCGCGTTGAATCGCGGACAGTTGGATCAAGATCCCATACGTTTCGAGATCCGATTTTATTCCTAAATCTTCCATCTCTTGTTTGATGAATACTATTTCTTTTGTTCTTTCATATTTTAACATGGCTCGCAACAGTTTGTTATGTATAAAAAGATCTCTTGAGAGTAATCCTTTTGATCTTGCATCCTTGTAAAGCCTAAAAGCGTCCGTTACACAGTCCGCTATGTATAATGAATATATTAAATTATGATATTCTTGTTCTGTAAAAATAACGTTTTTCTCCCAAGAGATTTCATACAACTTGAATAAATCTTTGAAATTCCTTTTCTTGACGCAATGATCCATCGCTTGAAAGTATATATGACTTATTGCTGGCGTTTGCGTATGCCGTAAAAATTTCCGCACGGTCTTGGCATCATTTCTAACTAAGCAAGCGGAAATCATCATCTCAACAATTTGATCATCAGGTGATGACTGTTTATCCAAAAGTTTCCAATAAAATTCCACAGCTTTATCATAATGATCATGACTAATAAATGTTTGAATTAGTACACTGTAAATCGTAACGTATAAAGACAAATCTCTTGAAGATTCTTCACCTTCCTGTTGTCGCATAAATATTTCTGGGAGAATCAACCCATGGGTCGTTTGCCTTTTCGCTATCATGCTCATAAATAACTCGCCAGCTACTGCTATATTATTTTGTTCCATCAGTCTATCGATCAGAAGTGAATTGACATAATAGTCCATTTGATAATCTTTTGCTGTCATCTCTTCGATATAACTCAACACTTGTTGCAAACTGACACCCTTCATGATTATAACGCGTAAAAGGTTAAGATAATCTTCCAAACTAGGATTAAACCCTTGAACTTTTAAAACATCGAGGGTATACATGGCACCAATATGATGATCTTCTAACATTCTATATAATTTGAGCATCGTGCTAAAATCCTGATGACTCAATCCCAACTCGTAATCTCTTGCCGCTTCCAAGACAGCAATGGCATATGATGGATGATTTACGGAGAAAAATTCCACAAGCTTCCGTATCTCTAAAATAGAGAGGCACCTGAATAATTCTGGTTGATATAAAATATTTTCAATAATCGTATAAACCTTTTCGGCATCATGTCTCTCGATGGATACCAAAATCCTTTTGATGGTTCTTATGCATACATCACTCATGCTTTGTTCCCATTGCTTTGTTCGCTCCATTACCATTTTTATTTGTGCCTGTGTCACCTTTTGAGGTAAATAACCATACGGAAATCGATAACGAATAAAATATCTCGCTTTCACTCCCGTATGTGAATCTGATGACCCTCGTGAACGTTCATCCCTTTTAACTGAAATCCTTTTCCTAACTTTGGAAAACCTTCTCACAACCCCTTTTTTACTAGATAATTCTTCCTTGAAATTTAAATGCTTTCTAATTCTAAAAAATCGTTGTATAATCCTTTTCTTTGATGACAATTCATCTATCATAAAATTTAATTCAAGGTGTGATTTGGTAGGTTTTGCTTCTGATGATGATGAAGATGATCCTCTTTCATTTTGCGTCGTTGAGAATCGTCTCGGTATTATCGGTAAATGTCTCTTTTTGTCGTATACAAAATGATGCTCAGGTATAAAATCTGATGTAACGCCTTCACATTTTTTTATTCTTGACAAGTAAAATAAATGATTTCGTTGATAGGTTCTGAATATTAATAAATTGATTGGTATAAATCCCTTTGGAAAAAACGTATAATGATGATATATTTTTGAGAAAAAAATACCATTACATGAATGACTTGCGCTACATTTAAATATGTATCGAATAGTTCCAAAGATATAAGAAGTCAATCCTTGTTTGGTTCTCGTACGATTAAAAAAATCTATTGGCGTCATTTAAAAAGATAAAGTTATTCGTGGAAAAAGTAAGAGCTTTTTTTTTTTTTTAAAAAAAAAAAAAAGTCGATATTTATACGATAATCTACTACCGTTGTGTAACGTGGGTAATTAAAATTTCTGCAACGCTCGATTTTATACATTATATATCACACAACAAAAAAAAAAAATCGACATTTTAAAATGTGGTTATATTGTATCACTTCACCACGATTTTCTTTTCCTAAAAAAAAATATATAATTTATATAATTTGTATATCTTCCCCCTTTTTTTACTTCTTTTTCTCTCCGAATTGTAAATTATGGATAAAGAATTCGTACCTCATATAAAATTTTCTTCGCTTTCTGATATTTATCCAGAATTAAGTCTTCCTTCGCAAATAACAAGATATAAAAAATTAATTGACTCGTTTGAAAAATTATATAATCGTAAACCGAAATTTATTGCACGTTCACCGGGTAGAGTGAATTTAATTGGAGAACATATCGATTATGCAGGGTTTGGAGTATTGCCTATGGCGATTAGTAGGGATGTATTGATTGCTGTCGATACTATTCATGAAGGAGAAGAAAATGATATGAAGGTTAGAGTAGCAAATGTATTAAATGAAAACTATCCACCAAGGAATTGGAAATATGAAGGGAAAGAGAAGATCGTAGAAATTGAAGTTAAAGAAGGGATTTCTGAATGGGGAAATTATCCCAAAAGCGGTTATAAAGGAATCGTTCAACATTCATCACTAGACAAACCTAAAGGGATGTATTTATTGGTTGATGGAAACGTTCCCCCGGGAGCAGGATTATCTAGCTCTGCGGCCTTTATTTGTTCAGTTTGTATCGCGACCTGTTCTTCTAATGATGTAAAGTTAACAAAAAAAGAAATTGTAGAAATTGCAATTGAGGCTGAAAGATCTATAGGAATGAACGCGGGTGGTATGGATCAAACCGCTTCAATGTTTTCATTAAAAGATCATGTTTTATACATTCAATTTTTACCATCACTTTGCGCGACACCAACAAAATTACCATCCACTAATCCTCCAATTGCGTTCGTTATAGCCAATTCTCTTATTACCTCTGATAAGATAGTTACTGCACCAACCAATTATAATTTAAGGGTCGTGGAAACAAAATTAGCCGCCCATCATTTAGGTCAATGTCTATTTAACAAGCCTTGTGAAAATTTGAAACAAGTTAGCGATTTATATTCAAACAGTATTGAAGTTACTATCGAGAATTTAATTAAATTATTGGATTACATTGAAAAGGTTTATGAAAACAATCATGATGGGTTCACTCTAGATGAATTAAGTTCACTTTTGAATTTGAATCAGGATGAAATTAAGGATAAATTTCTGAGTAGATTTCCCGTTAAAGCAGAAAAATTTCAATTATATAAAAGATCTAAACATGTTTTTGAGGAGTCGTCGAGAGTATTAAAATTTTATGAGTTATGTTCGAAAAGTGAAGCGAGAGGATCGATTTTCGAAGAATTAGGTAATTTGTTGAATGAAAGTCACAAAAGTTGTAAAGAATTGTTCGAATGTTCTTGCGATGAACTGGATGATTTGGTAAAAATTTGTTTGGATGGTGGTGCAGTTGGTAGCAGGTTAACCGGTGCTGGATGGGGTGGTTGTACCGTTTCTTTAATTCGCGAGAATGAGATCGACAAATTTATTAACTTTGTTAGTGAAAAATATTATAATGTTAGATTTTCACATTTATCACATAATGATTTAGAAAATTTCATTTTTGCTACTAGACCCGGAGGTGGGGCGGCTATCATTGAAAATTTATTTAATTAAACATTCTTTATTTATTAAACACAATTAATTACTAGTGTACAAAAGAATAAATATATATATATAAAGGGAAAAATGTTCTTTGATTAAAAAGTCCAATATAATTGTTTTGTTTTTGTTTTTTTTTGATTTATACATACACACTATGTCTGATCCATCGTTATTGTGTTAGTTTTTTTGCTAGAAAATGATTTAGAAACTATCATAGATCTTATGGAAGAAGCTGAGCTAGCATTTGATGATGTTCTGCTTCTCCTTTGATAAACGTTTCTTTTCAAAGGACTTGTAGATGCATTTGAAGCTCTTTGATATTTCCTTGCTTTCGTGCCATCTACTTTCTGGTCAGAATTAGCTGATCTGTTGCCTAATTCCTTAGCCCGTCGGATCAAAGTTTTACCAGATGTAATGTCTTTTTTACAACCAAATTTACCATTTATCATATACTTACCTAATTCGAGCATACTAGCTGGATGATTTTGTTCTG